ATATTTCGATAGTATACGTTCCAAGGAACATTTTGGTACCAAGAACTTGCGAGTAACAAATTATTTAAACAATGTTTCAGACGATAAAGTGCTCGGCTCGAGCGCCGATGCTGATAAACTAATTATTTTTCATGTGTTAGGGTTAGCAACAAAATCGGAAACGGGTATATTTCGATAGTATATGTTCCAAGGAACATTTTGATACCAAAAACTTGCGAGTAACAAATTCTATACATGTAAATTTTGGTCATAACGTTGCGACGCGCGACAATGCAGTTTTGATTATTTATCGGAATTTGTTTAACAATGTGATTTTTTCGATATTTCTTTGCACTATCCTAGAGCAACAAAAAAGCAACAAAATCTGGTGCCTTTGTTTTTTTGATATCGCAGCTCTATATCCATTTTTTCATTATGGGGGGGTCCAGCTTTATATTAACCTGGACCCCCCATTTTTTTTTTTTATTGCTGCTAAACGGTTGGAGCAACAAAATTCGCTCTAGAGCAACTAATTAGCAACAAAAGAGCACTAAATTTTTGACCTATCGCGAAGTTGATTTTCGATGGTGGGGGGTCCAGGTTAATGGGGGTAGTAATGCCCACTAATGCCGGCTAATGCCTAAGCAATGCTCACTAATACCCTAGTAATGCCCAGTAATGCCCAGTAATGCCCCAAATGTGTATTGCCACCGCAATGCCCTCAGCGGTTTACCCCTTGGTTTCAGCGCATTTGTCCTTAAGGATAATCATTGGAATTCTTCGGGGGGCTACCAGAACTCTCAATAGAATGCCGGATTTTCGAAAAAAATTTTGTCTTATGTGGACTTGGAAAAATCCGAAATCTGAAACTTCGTAGCTCTAGAACTTTATACTTAGATATTGATTTCAGTGCATCTGTCATTAAGCATAATTGTTAGAACTCTTTGGGGGGCTCTCAGAACTCATAACAGAAAGGCCGAAATCTGAAAAAAAATTGTTTCAAAAATCCGCTATTTTTTTGAGAGTTCTGGTTGCCTCCCAAAGAGTTCTATCAAATGTCCTATATGGAACAAGATGTTAAAATGAACGGTAAAGAAGTTATAGCCCTTTGAAATTTCGGAATCGTGAACTTGACCCCCCCGAAACTTCAAATAGTGTTTTCACCGCTTTAATCAACGGAACTCTTTCTAAAATTGATAGGGAACTCTAGAACTCTTCGGGGGGCAATCAGAACTCTGCTTATTTTTTCAATATTTTGAAAATGAGGGGCCAGCTTCACAGAGGTAAAAATAAAATATTTAGCTCGAGATTGCTAAGCAAAATTAGTAGTTAGAAAGGTCAAAAAACACGAGCATTTTTTTAGTTTATTGAGTTTTTGTTTAAAAATGCGAAGGTATATTAATATTATACAAAACAATGAAATTTGACATACATTTGGGTTTTTGTTATTTGTACTTGGGTTTTTGTACAAAACCCAGTGAGTTTTTGTACAAAACCCAGTGAGTTTTTGTAAACTGGGTTTTTCTGTGCCAACCCTGCTTTATATACATATATAATTAATATATTACATATATTGTGTTAATATTTGATATATAAGGCCAAACTGATTAATTTCACTTTTTATAAATTTTCCAATTTCAGTATCAAAGTATATGATTAATTCATAACTTCACTGTAAGAAATTTCTGTTGGGAACTTCCAAAAGTGTTGGAAGTTTTTATTCAACAAAAATGTGCTGTAAATTTAAACAGTTATATTGTGAAGTTACAATAATATTTTGTGGTAAAGTATATGCAAATCTCTAATACACATATGCGGCACACCAGTTTTGTAAATTCACAACAAATTTCTATTGTTCACAAATATTTCTAACAGTGTTCATCAACTTTCTCTGCTTTGTTGATTTTATGAATTTAATCAGTTTCTCCTTTCGAAGGGATCTTAGAGAGAAGGAAATTGACTTAAAAAATATCTATGTACCTAAACTGTGAATTCGGATTTCACTCACGTACGAAGCCGGCATATCCAAATGTTTTTCTTGCTTCACGGCAACGTCTTCCTCGATTTCGTCCGTGTCTTTTCGTACGATTCGCGGTTCACCAGGAAGCAAATGTTCCCAGAATTCGATTTTGCTCAAATCCCAGTTAATTTGCGCACAACCGTTTCCACGAGGCTGCATATTTACCCAGTAATTTTTATCATTCCAAATACTCTCAACTCCCAGATACAATAAATTGGTTTCTTCATCAGCCGGATTGTAAAACATTCCAGAAGAAGGCTCAAGGAAGATCGGTTCAATAATTTCTTGATTTCTCACACCTTTATCGTCTGGTAAAATAACCACCCACGCATGTATTTGTTGACCGAAATATTTATCAGGTTGCGGACGCTCGAATTCCTTAGAACCATAAAATTGAATGAATGATTACGATGGAAATCAATATATCAAATTGTAATCACAATCATAAAATCGGTAGTAAGCTTTACAAAGAGAAGCAAGAACTTTTTTAAATTTTTCATCTTAATTTATCTTCAGTACGAAAAAATCTATTAAATTCTTATTATGCGTCGTTATTGAATAATAAGATATACTTATTATATCCATTAAGCAACTGTTACAAATATAAATCATCATAATAAAAAAGTCCATGAAAGCCAACTGTGGATGGAAATTGTATAAAAGAATATGTATGATTAAGATTAAATATATATTCTTTTACACAATTTCCAATGTTAGCTTTATGGGCGCTTTTATTGTGATGATTTATTTTATTTTCAGTCTTTGATTTTATATATATTATTACAAATATATTAAATAACATCGGAGATAAAACAGAACTTTCTTTTATACACATACAGTGATCATCCTCTGATGCTCTTCTTTTTGTCGTTGTAATTCTGCCTCCGCTTTTGCTCTCTTGCGAGATTCCAACTCTAAGAGAAATTGACTCCTGAAATCAGGCGGTGGCTTTAATTGATACTTGACGATTTTAGGTTTTTCGACCGGTGGTAGTACTTGCTCAATCTTTGGCAAATACGGGCAAGTTCTTCTGGTCATGTCACAGAGCACTTGCTCGCGTGATGCATATCCGCTCACCACGAATGCATTGTAATCCTGTCCCAGCAGTAAGCTTACTAGAAGCGTCGCGTACTCGAAACTGTTACCCTTCTGAAAGTTTAATATCCACGTCGGCGAGCACAAGTGTTCAGGCTGAAAGAAAGACCGCGATTATTAAATAATAAAATAGGAATTTTTACTCAATGTTGTCTTTTGGACAATTTAATTTTAATATATTAAATTCTTACAACGATGACCTTTTAGAAGTGTTTCTAAGGCCCAGTTTCACAATTCACGGTTAACTCTTAACCGAGGTTCAACTTGTTTCTCATCTCTTTCCAATTCTAGAATTGAAAAGAAATAATGAATAAGTTGAACCTCGATTAAGAGTTAACCGTGAATTGTGAAACTGGGACTTATAGTCTTCTTGATTTAATAAAAATTTATAAATACAATTGAATTGAGTCATTACGATTTTATGAATTTGACACAGAGAGTTAGCCCGGAAATGCTGAAGTAGGGTCGCGGCGAGCAATTTTGAAAAAATTTTAATTACAGCTTTCTATAGCTGTATAAGCATAATAATCTCATTTTTTACCTATTCCGAACCCAGACAGCACAGAATATTTATGATAAATATTTATTATTTTATTTTTTTAATGTTATATAAATATTTTATACATATTTTATATAAAGCTTTATTAAATATTTATTAATGTTTATAATAAATGTTTATGATCTATGCAATGTAAGATGTATCACACAAATATTTACAAAATATTTAAAATAAGCCTTCCAAATATTTAAAAATATTTTGTAAATATTTTATGCTGTCTGGAAACTTGATTTTCGATGGTTGGAGGGGGGGTTCAGCTTAATAGACGTTATTATTTTTCTAAGAGAAGCATCTCTGTGTATAATAATAAGTCATGAATTCAATACTATTACAGTTGTTCAGATATTCATATCGATAAACAAAATAATTGATAATGTTTACATATCTCAATTTTCTAAATCCACCGGATCTATTTAATAGCGATATAAACTCATCCAGAACTGACCGTCCTTATTATTCCTTCATTACTAAAGTACATAAGAATGTATATAGTCCTTCAATAATTATATCAATAATGTTGAAGATAACGGTAGAAATTAACATTATCAACAGAAAACTTTGTGTAGCTGAAGCTAGATAGATAATTCAGTTTATTGGCCTACTGTAGGTACAAACACAGCCATTTCACATACTTTCGCAATCGCGACCTTTCAGAAAGGTGGCGTATTAATATTACTAAAAAAAGAAAATGGAACTTAATGTAATATCTGGAAGATTTTAAACGCACTCAAATTATTTGAATAAGCAAAACAAGAAGGGAAAAAGGAAATTAGGTTGGAACGAAACTAACAATAAGTAAACAATTGCACGCAGCCTCAAACTTTAACGCTTATACAAATGAAATGTTATATATCTATCTTACATTTAATAAAAAATTCCGTAATTAACTCTAATTCAGTCATTTTCTTTAAAATTTCCCTAATATCGACAGTGGTTTTTATATTTAGCTTATGGAATTTTTCGATCTCCTTCGTTATTAAACTTAGAACATTCCTATAAAATGTGGTTCGCATCTTCGGTGAATCCGCAGGAGCACAGATCACTATCCGTAATTTTAAACCTGTATAAACTACTTTTCAAAGAGTTACGACCGCTGCGTAATCTATTGATATTGACAATAGCTTTCCTATTCAAATTACTAGCGTGGGGAACCACGGTTTCACCAATTGAGAATGATACATCTGAAAAAAATTCAGTGCCTTTATTTAAAATATGTGAAACAAGAAATCTTCGTTATCTTTGATATATTTGGATTTAAAAATGTTAACAATGTCCGAATGAGGGACTTGTAGCGGCTTTTTTGGCTAATACATCCGCATTTTCATTTCCTAAGATGTTTTTATGAGCAGGAATCCAAATAAGCTCTATATCTTTATTTTTTTCCGTACAATTGATAATGGATTGATTTATCTCTTGGATCACATGAGACTGATGTTTTAATTTACATGTGTTATTAAGAGCGCTGAGAACGCTCTTGGAGTCAGAAAAAATTGAAAAATTTTTTATCTCGGACTTACTTATTTAATTTAAGGCAGTTAATATGGCAATAACGTCAGCAGTGTAAATTGAAGTAACATCAAAAAGTTTAAAACTAGTTATAAATTATCATTTGAGCTCCAATTAGCTATGCCAATAGACGAATTTGCGTTGTTTATTATTCTAGAGCCGTCAGTATAAATAGTGGTGCGTTCAATTACTTTGTCCTGAAACAAATGTAAGAATTCTAAATTTGCGTTGGAAGCTTCTTTGATTACAATTTCGCTATTGAGATCTATGTTACTTGTGTTACATAGATTTTTAAAATTCATTTAGGAATTGGTGATTTATAAACAATGTTCGCATATGGGCTTACTATCTCGTATGAGCTAACTAACATGGATTTATCGAAGTTGCTCTCGTAAACATGATGTAGCGAGAGTTGCGTAGCTGAAACACAAGTAAGCCGTAAGCTGTTGCCCTCTTGTGGCAAGTACTGCAATTAAAATACGAAATGTAACTCAACGTAATTCCAAGGATAACTTTAAAATAAATTTATTCAAAGAACAATACGTCCAAAATACGTCCAATACGTCCAATGTGGTTTAATTTTAATCTCGGTTCAATAAACTCTTCATCTTTTTCTAGTTTTAAGAATTAGAAAAAGATAAAGAGTAAGTTGAATCAAGATTAAAGTTAATCTACATTGAAACGGAGATTAATGATGGTTTTGAGGAGTCTTATGTCCGCATTTTGAGCATATTGGTTGGTCTATGGGTAACTTTACAAAAATGTGACGTATCGCGCAACGGTATCATAATTAATAAACTGTAAAATTGTGTATCATATTTTTGCGACTGTCGCATGTAGAGAGGTCCTCCAATACCGACGGAGGATAATTGCTCGGATGTATCTGCCACGTGCCTCCTATCAGTCCATCCAGAGAGAAGTAATAATAATAATAATACCAAAGAGTAAATACGTGAACACATTCAGTAATCGTCGACGTAAGCGGTAGGGATGTGAAACGGAGTGAGATAGAATGTATACAAGCAAACGTGGGGAGCACGTGGCGTGGCGTGCGTATCGTCCTCGGTCCATGACCTACGCCACTGTATTATAATCTACGAGTAGAATTTATTGCATCGTACAACGCCGCACTCTCGTTCTCTCTTCGTACTTTGTAGGACGATAGAGAGGAAAAGAGGGGGAAAAGCGAGAGAGTAACAGAAACAGACGAGGAGGAAAAATACGTTGCGAACGTTGCGCGTCACAACGCGTGTCCCAGTGATCGCGTTTAAACAGTTTCCTCCCACTCTCCCTCTCTCTCTCTCTCTCTCTCTCTCTCTCGATATCCTTCCATCGTTCATTCTTCCCTCTATTTCTCTTTGCTCTTCAACTTTTTATCTCTGTGACAAATTAAAGGAAGAACAATCTCACGGGAAAATTCATAGAATGGAGGCATCGAAACGCGCGGACGTTTCTCGTGTTCGTCTTTCGCTTTTGGCGGATCTCGTCGCGTCTTGGAACGTTATAGGGAAAGGACTCTTTTTTGCAGGCGCGTAGTAGAGAAGTCTGGACAACGACGACGACGACGACGACGATGGTGACGACGAGGGTAGAGAGATGGTCAGTGGGTGGCGGTGACGGCAACGACGGTATCCCTCGACCCTTTCGCCCACTTCCGCCCCCTCTGACCACCCGACCCAACCCATACCGAAGCAACCTACCTACCTCCCTTCCGCCTCTTCCCCTTCGCGCCTCCCCTCGTCGCCGTCGTTGCCCTCGGCCGTCTCTCTCCGCGCCTCGTCTCGCCTCGCTTCGCCTCGCCGCGCCGCGCCGCGCCGCGCCGCGTCGTCATTCCGTCCTCTCCCCTCGTATCCCCCCTTCCCCCCGTCACCCGAGCCGAGCCAAGCCGCGCCGCGCTGCGCCGCGCCGCGCCGCTACGGCCCCGCGCGTCACCCTCATTCCGCGCGACCCCTTCGACCGGCATCCACGTGGGACGCAAGACGAGGGTGTGAGGTAGCAGACAACGCGGAGATACCACCGCGCCGCGGCAGCTGGCACAGTGTTTCTCAACCACGAACTTTACGCGAGAAACCCGCACTCTCCGCGTATTAATTCGTTCACGCCGTATGAGCGGTAATTTACAACTCTCGGACTAAGCTGGATGCACGCTCTCGCGCTCGCGCATACGTACGGACGTATTACAAAATATACCGAGCGCGCAGCGAGATGATAAATAGACCACGCGGGGATTTAACAGCCACTTGGGTGAAAATTACGAGCGCCCCGGTATTTTGAGATTTTCTGCTTTTCTTCTTGCTTCTCTTCTCCCGTCATGCACAGTTAACCGTCGTTTCTCTCATCCATCGCCGCTCTACGTCAAAATTTCGCTTTCGACCGTAAAACGATCGTCTTTACGTGAAAAGTCACATCGACAATTTTGCGAAATTATAATTTATTACTTTTTCCAAAGTGCTCATCTACCTCGTCAATTCGTTGACCCATTTCATCGTGTTCGTGATTTTTAACTCGATCCGAGTGACGCGAAACCGTGCGCGGCAAAATGGCGCGCAGTAACGAAGGCGCGAGGTTGTTAAGCGCGACGAAATCGTGCTTTAAAGCGGATGGATTCGAATGGCGAACGAACGCGCGGTCGTCGAGGCAAATCGTAAAAGATAGACGTCCGAGGGTTACACGCCGTCGCGATCCATCGTCTAAAAATATATCGCTCTCTCATCGACGTATCTCGTTGCCGACATTATGCGTCGCGCAATTCGCTCGCGATTCGTGTCCGCGACGAAGAGAGAGAGAGAGAGAGAGAAAAAGAAAAAGAGAATGATGGAGTCTCCTCACGCGGATCGCGGATCTCCGGATTTATACACGGTACAACGTCGTTACACGAGCGTCGCGCTCACAGGGAACGAGCGAACCGGGCGATGATCAAAGTAGGACGCTCGAAAGCACGGATCGAAGCGCTGATTAGTCGAGGCTTCGAGCGAGGTGCTGCGAGATAGCGCTTTTCGGAGCGCCTCGATGTCGTACCGTCGGTGCCGCGCGGCGTATCGAGGACGTTATCCGTGGACCCGAGCGTCTGTGTACGTGCGTGTGCATGTGTCCCGGGCGCGCGCGCGCGCTCGCAAACCCTCATATACGCGCTCGTGTGCCTGTGTACGAGCTCGCGAGGGAAGATGGAACGGCGGAGCGAGCGACCGAGGGAGAAGCACGGTCGGTGACGAAGGGGAGGAGAGTTCGCTCTCGCGAGTACGAGAGGGCGACAGGGAAAGGGACAGAGAGAAACCAATGCAAGGGGCAGACAGAGAGAGAGATTGAGAGAGAGGGTCGGGACGAGGGCCTAAATCAGGGGCGATCGCGCTGAGCGACGTCGCTATCTCTGAATATGCGAACCACTATTTGGCGTCCGCGGCGCGCACGTACCTAGAGAGAGAGAGAGAGAGGGGGGGAGAGAGAGAGAGAGAGAGAGAGAGAGAGAGAGAACCCCGTATTACTAGATACTAGATAGTACCTAGCCTCTGCCCGTAGCCTATGTACTACCTCACCCGTCCCCGTAGAGACGCGCGTGTAAGTGCGCGAGGTGGAAAACGCCTTGCACACACGCGCACGTATACACACATACACACATGTATGTATGTACGGCTATGTACGCGCGTGCATGTGCATGTGTGCTTACACCTACGCGGTTACATGCCCTGCGAACCGTGCACATGAGAGCCAACGGCGAGAGCATCGAACATGCCGGCATCCCTTCGCTCCCTGTGTACGCGGTGTGCGGAAAACTGCAGAATAAAGTCGAACCCTCTCGCGATCGCAGGAGACGACAACGCGTTCGACTATATCGTCGTCGTTCTCGTCGTCGTCGTCGTCGAAGCGCGCGGTTTTATCGCGCGGCATCATTACGTGCGCGCCGTACCAACTCGAGAGGACGTACTATATATACGAAGGGGACGTTCGTTAAAGGCGAATATCGAAAAATGAGGGCTGCCGTTACGTCAAAGACGCACGAGCGGGCTCGTCGAAGCCCTGAAGATTATTTGGCTTCGCGTCCGTTCTTCGACGCTACTTCTACGTTCTCTTTTTTAGAATTCGTACCTTTGAAAACGAGATACACGTTGAAGGAACGCTCATTAAGGTAGAATATTGAAAAATAAGCACCCTTACAGGACCATTAGACTACCTATCTACGTGTCTTTGAAACGCTGCTGGCGTTCATGTATTTTTGAGATACGTGATATACTTCTGCATACAGATATTAAATAGAAGCGAGGTTATTGAAAAAAACAAAAAAAACGTGTGCTATTTCGAGGTCGAGTACGCCTAGCGTAATCGCGATCGCAATGTGAGGCGTCGCGGATCTCGACCGCGAATAGCGTGTAGAGCTGGTTTACGATATTTTCTCGATAAAACGCCGGCAAACGATCGGCGGTGATTTCGCGCCATTAATCGGGATTTCCACCTAATTTGAACCTCGTAAGCGCGTTCGCGCGGCGTCTTCTTCTGTCCCTTGTCGCGCGAGCCGCCGGTTGACGAAGGTATTAAACGTGTCTATTTTTGCGCGCCGCGCTCGCGACAAAGCGCGACGAAGCGAGGCGAGAGCCTCGGCTCTTTCGCACGTCGACATCGGCGTCTGCGGCGCGCGAACGACGCAGTGACGTCAGTATTTGCGCGCGATGACGCGCCGCGAGGGACACGTGGGCGAGGAGGAGGGTGCCATCGGCAGAAATGTTATATTCGACGGTATTTAACGCGGCCGGTGTCGCTGGCGTTAAACGTTGCCATGCACGTCATAATTGCTCCCGGTATGCGCTTCCGCCCCCCCAAAAACGCCGCCGCCGTCGCCGCCGCCGCCGCGTGGGCGGTCGCCCGACGAGTTTGAAACTTTGTCGTGCAACTGAACGGATTATAACGCGTTGATTGTGCGCGGGACGAGCGCGGGAAGAGAGCTCGGAACTTTATAAACACCACGTCCGCGCGGGTTTCCGCGAAAATGCCAGAGAAGTTGCCATCGGGTTGCCTAGAAGTTGTCTACAAGATCGACTCTTGAATCGGGGCTTCCGTGTCTCTCTTAAGTCTGCATGCAAAGTAAAATGAGAAATAAAAAAGAAAAAACGAGAGAAGCGTTACGTATCTATATGTAGCAATCGCCGAAGTGTTTTTCGCGGGGTCTCGGAATTACCGGATACCAACTTCCGGCGCGCTCGAGCAACCCTTTCGGCGATTCGCCCTCGCGCTGCGAACATAAATTGACTTATTAACGATTCCGGGGAGAAAGAAAGTAACGATACGCCGGAGAGAAAGAAAAAAAAAGCTGCCATGTCACGTGATCGTGGAGACCCCGAAATTCGCCGCCCGCCCAAACGGATACCGGTCGCCGATCGTTACGTATAGCGGTGTAACGTATGTACGCGGTGCGATCGAGGCTCACTGTACTCTCTAACGAGCGGTACACGTGTTCTGACGTCTGCGCTATAAAAT